CCATCGCCGTAGATGGGGAAGGTTGCATGTCGGCGACATGCCCATAATACCGATAAACGATTGACAATCTGCACCAAGAACTCAGTGTGGTGATGGTGAAGTTTCCTTAATCAGGTTTCTGTGCTGGAGAACCTATTGGCTACTACGGTAATGGTGAGAGTGTCAAGCAAATTAAATTTTTCGTCGGTTAGGTTTTATTTTGAAAACTTGATGAACAATAGAGGGTAAATTGGATATTTTATTTTTTTTATTAGCACTTATCAACAAAGTCAATTGTCAGAAAACCTAGAGATACTTTAAGACAATATATAAACAATAAGAGTAGAGATAGTCAATTTCCTAAATTATAAGGGTACTTTAAAAAATTTGCCCATTTTTTAATTAAAAGTTTATTGGAAAAAGATCTATTTAAAATAAATAAAAATTTATGGATAATAATATATTTAATTTAATAAAATAAAACAATAAATAATCACGGTCATCAAGCAATAGAGTGAAAGAGGGAGATATAACTTTTGTCATTGTATTTTGTTTTATATAGTGGAATAATTGTAAATAGTTAAATAATAATTAACTTAATTTAACAAAAAATAAATTTAGTAAAATAAATGAGATAAATAGAAAATCAAGTGAAAGAGTAAATATATACACGATCCTACGTCTTACATTGCTAGCAATAATAATTTGTTAGATTGTTAAATTATTAACTAATTAAATAATTTAGTAAATAAATAAATAAAACTTTATGTATTATCATCATCACAAGATTGGTAAAGGCTATCTCAAATTATTTAATTAATTTATTTAGCATTGTTAATGGGTCGGGTTGAACTATCGAACTATTAAGCCCATGAACATCCTTAGCCCAGTTCGTGGCCCAACCTGGCCTAAGACTTGGCCCACGGACCAGCCCAGCCTGCAGTACAACATGGGCCCATATAGGCTCGGGCTAAAATAAAGAATTAAGATCTTTTAATTTTTTTTGTCTATTTTTATAATTTATGTTAAATTATTTTTTTTTCATGTTTTTTAAAAAAAATGGCTTAGCCCGGTTCGTGGACTAGCCTAGCCTAAGACTTGGCTCGCGGACTAGCCCCACCCGTGGCATGGCATGGGCCTGTGTGGACTCAGACCATATATTATATATAATTTTATTTTCAATTTTATTGTACACATCAAATTTCATATAGAATAAAATTTTAAGATATTTTTTTAATTTGTTTATCTGTTTATTTTAATTGATGTTAAAATTTTTAAAAACATGGCTTGTGGCACAACACAGGCCCGTACGGGCTCTAGCCGTATATTATATACAATAATTATATAATATATAATTTTATTATATTATTGCATATATAAACAATTGTATACATCAAAAATCATATAAAATAAAATTTTAAGATATTTTTTAATTTTTTATCTATTTTCTAATTTATGTTAATTTTTTTCATTCTTTTTTTCAAAATTAAAAAAAAAACATGGATTAACCCAATTCGTAGCTTGGCTTGGCCTAAGACTTGGCTTGTGGACTAGCCCGACCTGTGACATGACACAGGTACACAGACTCGAGCCAAGGGTTAAAATGATAATTTTTGTGGTAATCACCTCCGAACGGCAGGCGGGAGATAGGGGTCTATGGATGTTTTTGTAAACTTAAAAGATAAATTTAAGAGAATTGGGAAAAAGTAAAGGGGAGTTTCAGGTAATAAGAGTATTTGTCAATTGTTTTTTTCTTGAATAATACATTATGGTTTTATTTATATTTTTGTAGGATAAATTTCATATTAGTACATTGTATTGTACTTTAGTTGTAGTAATTTCACTTTCTTCACTAAAAAATGTGCATTTTCACTTTAGTACCCGAACTATAAAATGTGCAACTACAGTCTCTGAATTTTCAAAATGCGCCACTTTAGTCCGTTAACGAACTGCCCTTGGCTGTTATAAATAATTATTACAAAATTGACAAAATGTTTCTTCCATTGCCAACGGATGAGGAGCATAAAGTACCCTAGTAATTGGTGGGTTGTTGATGACTTGGTCCCTTCCATATGTCTAGGGGTGTCAATTGGGCTAGATTCCAATCCGATTCGGTCCAATATAAGACAATTATAAATGGACTAGGTCCAATCCAATTCAATGAATATTTTGGATCAATTTGAATTGGTACAATTAAATATCAGGACCATCTAATCTGTTCAAATTCATTTTGATTTAAATAATTTCAACCAAAACCCGGTCTATTGACACATATATTCTTATCTTATATTAATGGATCAGATATTGGCTTAATCCAATCCAATCCAATATAAATTTGTTACGGACAAACCAAATCCAATCCAATCTAGTAAATATTTTTTTGACCAGATTGATTCAATCCAATATGTCTTGTTGGTTCATCCAATCCATCTAAATTGATTTTAGATTGTACATGATCCAATCTACCAGTCCATTGACACCCTTATATATACCGCCTATATTTGAGGGGACTCGTTCCATTCGTTCAAGATTGTTAAGTGTTGGTCAAAGAATTCTTAACTATGACTCCAAGGGATGACTTCAAAATGGCATCGGGGCATTCAAGAGGAGGTGGATTGGTGATGATTTTGGGTTTCTGTTTATCAATGTTCTAATTTAGTCTCACAAAAAATAATGTCTTCTTGTTAATGGTAATTTTGAGATTTTAAAAGTTTCAAATAGCATGTCATATTACATGCATCAAAGATAATTAATGGAATGCAAACATAGGACGTAAAGTGATAATTTTTAAAAGTTCAGATATTACAGTACAGTGCCACATTTTAAAGTTTAGGTATCAAAGTGAAACTACCAAATTAAAGAATACTAATTTACTAATATACAATTTGCCTTTTTTCTTTAATATAAATTTACTTGTATTTTCTTTAATATAATTTTACTTGTATGTATTGGGTTTAGTGATGGTTACCGGTGGACAACTCCCGATTTAGTCCCAAAACCCCAAATGGATATTCTCCATCACTCTCTCTCTCTGAAATTAGTTATAGGATGATCAAAATTCGGTTATCTTTACTTTTGAACTTGCTTACACACTTTCCGGGTCAGACGCACCTTTCAAATTAAAATTAAGCCAAAAACAACCGAGTGAAAAAGCTATGGGTGTTAAGTCGGGCAGATTGAGTCGGGTTTATGGTCAATATATATGTAAATTATGTATGTATGTATGTATGTATGTATGTATGTATAGACACACACATGTATGTATGAATGTGTATAGTTAGGCCAGGCCCCGAGCCGGGTTTAGGCTACCTAAGGGCTAGGCTCGAGGCCGGCCTAAAAAATAAAAAAAAGCCTGACTTCTTAGACCCGGACCTATCCTAAAGATTGAAAATCCAAGCCTAATCCATATAAAATTTTGAGCTGGGCCCGCCCCAATTGCATCTCTAGAAAATATAGGTGCAAATGGATTGGATCATGATCCAGTCCTATTTGGTCAAATTTGGATCCCCCACCCGGTTTGGATCTTTGGATCAGATTCAAATCACTCCTATTTGATCCGAGAAGATCCGATATGACTTTATAAATAAATATATATATATATATAATACATATATATGTTATTTATTTATTTATAAATACATTTTTTATATTATATTTTATAAATTTGTTAAATTATTTATTTTTATAAAAAACATGCATATATATAATGAAAATAATTAAAAAATACTTATATTTTTTGTTTTTTATTTTATTTAGATTAATATATTTTAATTTTCTTTTAATAATTTATTATTATTTTTAAATTGGATCGGATTTATTGATAGAATTCATAGTATAAATCCAATATAAACAGTGTTGAATCGAATTTGAATATACTCTGATTTAAATCCGATCCAATCTAACCCACTTTTTTTCCGTACTATTTCCAAAGATCGGGTAATTGACCCGGCCATAATACGAATCTGAAAGAGAACAAAACCATGGGATAGGACAATTTTACCCTGATTGGCTAGAAAAGGCCGAAGTTGAATCCAAGCTAGCAAAATGGAGGTTGGGATGCTTACAGCAGGCGGTCGTGAGAATACTTGTGAGAGACATTGTGAGCTACGACAAAAGAGAGGTTAGTGCGGAGTCCAGGTCCAATTCCCACCCAGCCATGCTGGCCTCTCGTCGGGGCGCGTGGGCGTGCAAGTGGGATCACATCACATGGGAGTTAAAGCGGGGTGAGAGAGACTCAGAGACGATAAAGCCTTTAAGTAACCAAACAAGTTATTTAATCACAAGAATCCATTGACGTTGGATTTGAGGACTGCCGAGTTTTGACTTGTATTGTTACTTTGTTGGACGACTTGGATCCCAGCGATATTACTTCGTGCCAAAAGTTCATCAGCGTGTCAGTCGATGGAGCGGGAAAGAATCTAGAGGTTGCCGCTAAATTCCACATAAGAAAAGGTTGAAGGCTCATCAGTCATCACTCCTAAAAGTAACTAAACTACGAAAAGAGAGTGCTGTTTGGCACAGCTTTGCTCTGCACTAGTGGATAGGATATAATAAAGAGCGGCGATGACCAGTGATTAGGCATCATGTCCCAGTGTGTGACAAACGGATGCTTCGGCTGCGACCGCCAGGCGCCAGCACAGCACGGAACGGAAGAATTTGTTCCCTTCTTAACTTCTAATCCTTCAATATTTAATTATTTTGTTACAGTTTAACGATATTGGGATTCTTATCTCTTTCTTTTGACCAAAATATCCTTTCACTTTAGTTTAATTTACGATTTTTTTTCTCTTTTTTTTTTATGTATGTATATTACAGTAACACCGTTCATTGATGCAATTCACTAGTTCAGGGTTGTTAGGCATCTTTTATTTTATTCAAAATGAAATTAAGGCAGAATCCACCGTACGTGAAAGTGGGTGATCTTCGGCCAGTGCGAGGCCAACTTATTAATTATTGAAAAGTTTGGGAGTTGGGGACTGGGGTACCGAGTTAAATTGGCTACTTTACGAAAGGACTCAAGGGCATTTATTTTGCTCTTGTCGTCTTCGAAAAAACAAACCATCAGTGGCACCCCTCGTCGTCAGACAGACCGTCGTCATCAAATCAAAGCCAATTTCAGAGCAGAGCTACGGAATCAGCGAGCAGAGAGAGAGGCGAGGGAGAAGAGTCCTCCTAGACCCAGACTTCCGAGATTTAAAATTTCCTTTGGATTTTCTTTTTTTGTTTTTTGGTTGTATTTCGAGATGAAGAGAGCACTCGTCACCGGCGAAGATCCGACGGTTGATGACGAGAAAAGGAGGAAAAAGAAAAGGAGCGAAGAAGAAGAGGAAGAGGAGAGTAGTCAAGAGGTTGGGTTTGTGCTTCTCGATGAGGATCTGCTCTTCGAGGTGCTGAAGCACTTGGACGCGCGGTCGCTTGCGATCGCGTCTTGCGTTAACAAACAGTGGTATAGGACGGCCCGGGATGAGCGGTTGTGGGAGTTGGTCTGCACCCGACACTGGACGAACATCGGCTGCGGCAATCAACAGCTCCGTTCCGTGGTTCTTGCTCTCGGAGGTTTTCGTCGCCTCCATTCTCACTGCCTCTGGCCCCTCTTAAAACCACCTCCATCACTGTCGCCGTCTCCGTGGGCGGCGTCATCGTCATCATCTACTCCCTCTCTCTCGTCTCCATTTCCGACTCCGGTAATTCCATCAAAACCGCCAATTCATTGGGGAAAAGACGAGGTTCAACTCTCCCTATCTCTCCTTTCGATTCGCTATTTCGAGAAGATGAATGTTAACAACAGAGGCAGATGAAAACGCTTTCTAATCTGTTCATCACCTTAATTTTTCCTTTTTCCTTTTTTTTTCTGTCGCGCTTGTGTTCTTGGATTTCATATCTCTTATATATATAGATCTCGTAATGCGAGAGAGTCTGTAATAGTTATACCCATTATTATTGACGAATTTTCTTGGATTTCTCTTTTATCCTTTTTATTATTTAATAACTTCGATCTAAGAAATGATGGTGTTTGTGAAATGAAAATTACTTTTTGGGTTGTTTATGTGTAAATGAACTTAAGAATCTGTAGATTGCTGGTTTTGAGTTTTGTTTTAATGCTTGAATGGGAGGTCAGGGCTTGCTGCAAATGAAGCCGGGAGCCGGCAAAAGTATGTTCTCTCTCTCTCTCTGTTTGACGATTCACATTATCACAATACAGTGATCTGATACACATACGGTGTCTCTCCTCCATTGCTATTTTGTTTGTGTGTGGGTGTCTTGTACAGGAATCAACACAAACAGACAGAAACAAAGTTGGAGTTGTACAATTGTTCTTATTATATGTCTGTGCTAGAGGCCAAGCCTCCCAGCCACGCCCCAACTGTAACATTTGGCTTTCTAATTGCAGAGATGTATTCCTTTTATTGTCTTGTTCTCACAAGATCCAAAGGCCTGGAGAAAAGCTATGGTGTAGATAATAATGAAACCAAGCTATCCAAAATAAATATTAGGGTAAATTGGTGAAACTTTTTTAAAGTTTGGTAATTACAATCATCGTCCTCAAGTTGGCCTCCTCTTACAATTTATCTTTTATAGATTTCTCTAAAAGAGGCATGATTGCATGAAAATGTTCAAAATACTCTGTATTTAATTTAACCAAAATGTTTATTTTTAAAGTCGTTACATATGAATAATTACCCCAAACCCTTAGGTTCCATTTGGTTTGTGGGATGGGGACGAGAAAAAGGGAATTTTTTTATTTTATTTGTTTTGAGGGAAAAAGAGAGTTGGGATGAGAAAAATGTGGGATGTCAAATCTCAAAACCGTGGATTTGGAGTCGCACTAAAACCGTGCAGTTCCGGTGGAAAGATTTGAGAAAGAGGGAGTGAGGAACGACTTGTGTGGAGAACACAGAAGCATGAGTTGCTTCAGTGACAGAGATGTTCGAACCTAGAAGTAGGAGATGGAGGAGTCGCACCAAAACCATCGACGATCTGCTACCTCCCCTTCCCCATTCAAACCCAGAAGCAGGAGTTGGTTCGGTGAGATTTCACCAACGACTCTGGTACTCTGGTGTACTTCTTCCCTCACCGCTAACAGAGACGTTCGACAGAGGATTAACGAACGGAGAATAGGATGGAGGGAGGAGAGGAATATGCGAGTAAGATTTAGAAATGGAGAGAGATGGGGGTTTGGTTTGCTGCGACCTATTAGTTCGAAGGTAGGAGATGATGAACAATCACTCCCCTTCCTCCTTTTTCTTCTTCCAAATAGGAAAATTAGGTTTCTCTATAGTCCAAACGATCTACTGCTACCTGTTAGTCTGAACTACTGTCTTCGGTGGCACTGTCTGAAGGTAGGAGATGATGAATAATGCTTTTCCCATCCCATGGACCAAACAATGGAAGTGTAAATTTTCACACTTTCCCATCCCATCCCACCCAAATATTCCCACAAACCAAACGAAGCCTTATGAAGAGGGGCAAAACCGGTACACCAATCACTTGATACCACATATCATCTTGGGAACCTCGGAACATGCAATAAAGAAAGGTCGGGACTCATTTGCCATTAGAGTGAACTTGCGTTTTATCAAGAAATCTTGGGAGGTAGGGGTGAGAAAAAAAATGAAAATTTCGAACCTATCAAAAAAATCAATTGAAATTGAACCGAAAAATCGGTTAACAGAATTGGTCGGTTCGGTGTTTTTAAAAAACCGAAGATACTGGTTCGGTTTCGGTTAACCAATATAAAAAACCGGCGGTTAATCGAACTGACTGGTATACATATATATCTATATATTTTATATATATTTATGTATTATAAATTAATAAATATGCATTATATATAAATTTATATATTTATAGTATACTATTTATTATTTATTATTTAAAATATAATATTTTATATATTTATAAATTTTTATTATATATTTTTATAATTTATATTGTAAAAACTAAAAAATCAAAAAGCTGATGAATCGAACCAATGGTTAACTGAACCGGTCAACCGATTAACCGATTGGCTTCGGTTCAGTTCCGATTTTCCAAAAACCGGTACTACTGGTTCAATTCCAAAAAGTATCCCAACTGAACCGTGAGCACCCTTACTAGGAGGTCATCGAAGACAGCCCGAGTGGGCCACCAAGGCCTCAGTTTCGCCTTAAACACCTCGGGACACCTAAACAGCCAGCCCCCAAATCGGCTCTCCAGCCTAATAAAGTTGACCTGCCACATCAGCATAAGGAATGAGTTTCAAAGCATTCAATGCTTCTAAGATCTTTGAGGCATGTTGTACACTTAGTGGTAATAGTAGGAGTCTCCCCGCCTCTTAGGGAAACGATAAGTGGCCTGTCCAATGAACGCTCCCAAGAATCCCTAAGAATCCGGCCATCAAGGTTCGTTACTTCTGAGAATTTTGGAGGCACCTTGATCATTCCTCATCTATATAAAAGGGAAGAAATTCTCCCTCGCTAGGTACGCTCTTAGAAAAAAGAATAAGCTATCTACTTTGCTCTCTTTGCTCGAAGTTCTCTTTCAGGTCGTCTACCTCAACACTAACTTGACCGTCGGAGTTCTTACGCCTAGTCTCACAACCCGGACACTCTAACTTCTCTCTCTTGCAGGACTCTAGGCAAAGCTCGCACCATAATTCACCCTCTTACCAAGACCCGAGCAGATTGAACCACATCACCTTCTAATCACTCAAAGGTAAATAAGCAATTTTAAATTCTCCGTTTCTTTGGGTTTCATAAAGTTATACTATTTTTTCTACCGAAATCAGACTCAATAGTAACTGTATGGGTATTTTGGATATTTTATGTCTCTTTTTAGAGGATTATAATAGAGATGGTCTATTTACAACTGTGTCATAAAGTTAAGGGGAGGTTTTTGCAACTGTCCAAACTTCAGGGCAGGTTTTAGCAATTTACCCTAAAAATGAAAATAAAAAATCTCTCTAAAATGTCAAAAAAAAAAAAGATTGGGGATTGAAAAGTAAAAGTAAGAAGGATACTAATTAAAGCAATTTATAGCCGAACCCATGTGTAATTGCTTATTATAAGATGGACTTATGTTTTAAAATCCGAGCTGGAGGCCAAATCGTTTTTGCCTCCGGGTCGTGGGTGAATGGTTCAGACCATGCCACGTCACCAATTGAATCGCAGGTCATTGGGTCAAATGGTTCTTGACTAAACAATTTTTTGATCGTTTAACAGATCTTGACAGAATTGAATCCAGAATCCTGACCAAGTAACAATTTGAACAGTTCGACTGACCAAGTCAACATCGGATTGAAAGCAATGAAATGGACGATCAAATGAAGTTGAAGTTAAGAAAGGGAGAGTGATGGGCATCCGTGGATTTCAAGTGAATATTTCTTTATAAATTTACATTTTTTTTTTATAAGCATATAAATTTACATTTTTTTCTTAACTCCAACAGTGAGAGATCTACCATAGGACGGTATTTATAAATTGACTCTGCTACGCAACTCTTTGAATTGAATTTGCCATGAATAAAAATTGTACGGGGATGAAGGGGTGTTCAGCAACATGTTTTTGAGCTCGAAATTTATCATAATGGGGTCGGATCCTACTTGATATGCATGGCAGGATCTGAGAGGTCGGTTGGAAACGAGGACCGAAGATATTGGCATGGCTGTTTCTTCTACAACAATATCTCGCCTTGGTTATTCTTTCGCATGGAGGCCGGGTTTTGATTAGGATTGCAAATGGATTGGATCAGATTCTAATTAGAGTATATTCGATTATGACCTGATATTGTTAAGGGGGAGATGATCCGATTAAATTTCATAAATATGGATTTTAATTCGAATAAGATGAGACTGTCATATCTTCAGATCTAATCTGTTTTGATTTGATTTTTTTTAAATAAATAAATTATTAAAAGACAAATAAAATGTAATAATTTAAATAAAGAAATACAAAAAAAATACAAGTATCTTTTCAACTATTTTGATCATATATATACATGTTTATTTATAAAAAATAAATAATATAATAGATTTACAAAAATGCAATAAAAATAATATATTTATAAATAAACACAGTGTGTGTTATAGGATCTGATCTCGGATCGGATAGGGGGATCTAAATCCGATCTGATTTTTAATTGGATCCTATTATCTAATCCAAACCTATCACTAAAAAGTTGCACATGGCAATTTCGAATGATAACAAAAAACAACAATAATTGTAAATATATATTGGTGATTTATTGCCTTTCAACCTAAAAACTTGTATAAAATCTTCTTACTTTATAGCTTATATCAATATTTCCAATTGATTGTGTTAATTGAACCATTGCTTTCCTAGAGACCGATTAGACTAACTGAATTGTTACTTGACCTAGATTTTAGGTTCATTTTCCACCAAATTGCTTGTCTATAAAAAAACCATTGACTTGACCAACAACATGGTAATCCAACTAATCAAACCATTGAATCATTTGATTTGTTTAGTAGGGTGATGGAATAGACATTAATTTTCTATTTTCGTAATTTTTATATTCCATTTCCATCATCTAACAAACATGAATGTGGTTTCATTGCTAAGGCTGTTTTAAATTTTTTATTCCCTTTCTATCATTAATATTTTTTTCTTATTTATCATACGTAAAAACTGGTTTTATTTCCAAGTTGATTTTCAATAGATAAGTTTTCATACTATTTGATGAAGGAAGATTTGGCCCAACCTCGCAAATCACGGCACGTGGCAAAAAAGGCAAGTAGCTCGACACTCAAGACAGCATACCGAGGGTACAAACGCCAAAGGGAAGGGACCAGCAGGCCCGAACTCCCTACTTAGAGCTCGAACTCCCTAGCAAGAGGCCCGAGCTCCCTACTTAGAGTTCGAACTCCCTAGCAAGAGGCCCGTGCTCCCTACTTAGTGCCCAAGCTCCCTACTTAGTGGTCGAACTCTTTGCAAGGTGCCCGAGCTCCCTACTTAGTGATCGGACTCCCTGC